CCTCGCTGTATTTGTTATCACTGTTACACACAAACATGTCTTGTCTCTCTGTTTGTCTGTCTATCTGCCTGTCTGTCTGTATGTCTGTCTGTTTGTATGTCTGCCTTTCTATCTATCTGCCTGCCTGTCTGTCTCTGCTTATCTGTCTTTCTATTTGCCTGGAGTACAGTGGTCCCTCGCTTTTCGTAGTTCTCGGCAATCGTAAAATTCGCCAATCATAGGGGTATTTTTGTATAAACATGGACTCGCTTTTCATAGGTTGACTCGCGAGTCGTAGTTCGTTCGGGACATGTACCCATGGCATGAGCCGTGGCGGCAGCCAGTCTGGCATTGTTTACCAGTGAGCAAAGGTCCCCTCACGTGCTCCAGCGAAATATTTCATAATATTCCATTTATTTTAGTGCTTGCAAGTACTAAATAAGCTACCATGGCTCCAAAGAAAGCTCCTAGTGCCAAGCCTGTGGTAAAGGTGAGAAATACGATTGAATTTAAGAAAACCATCATTGAACAATATGAAAGTGGTACAAGTGTGGCCGAACTGTCCAGGATGTATAAGAAACCCTACACAACCTTATGTTCCATAGTGGCCGAGAAAAAGGAAATCAAGGATGCTGTTGTTGCAAAGGGAGTAACTATGCTGACAAAAATGAGATCACCAGTACTGGAAGAGGTTGAGAAGTTATTATTGGTGTGGATAAATGAGAAACAATTAGCAGGAGATACTACTCTTATGACTTTGATTATTTGTGAAAAGGCTAGGCAGTTGCATGAAGATTTGGTAAAGAAATTGCCTGCAAATAGTGGTGATGTAAGTGAATTTAAGGCCAGCAAAGGCTGGTTTGAGAGATTTAAGAACCGTACTGGCATACACAGTGTGGTAAGGCATGGTGAGGCTGCCAGTTCGGACCACAAGGCGGCTGAAAAATATGTGCATGAATTCCAGGAGTACATAGAGGCTGAAGGACTGAAACCTGAACAAGTGTTCAATTGTGACGAAACAGGCCTCTTTTGGAAAAAAATGCCAGAGGACCTTCATTACACAAGAGGAAAAGGCAATGCCAGGACACAAACTTATGAAAGACAGGCTGACGCTAATGTTCTGTGCTAATGCTAGTGGGGATTTCAAAGTGAAGCCATTACTAGTGTACCATTCAGAAAATCCCAGAGTGTTCAGGAAAAACAATGTTATGAAGAGTAAATTGTGTGTGTTTTGGAAATCTAATAGTAAGGCATGGGTCACGAGGGAGATTTTTGTCGAGTGGTTCAATGAAGTGTTTGGCCCTAGTGTGAAGGAGTATCTCCTGGAAAAGAAATTGGATCTCAAGTGCCTGCTAGTAATGGACAATGCACCTGCTCATCCTCCAAACTTGGATGACCTAATTTTTGAGGAGGTTGGGTTCATCTCAGTAAAGTTCTTGCCCCCGAATACCACTCCTCTCCTCCAGCCCATGGACCAGCAGGTCATTGCAAACTTTAAAAGACTCTACACAAAAGCAATGTTTCACAGGTGCTTGACTGTGACCACAGACACTCACTTGACCCTAAGGGAATTTTGGAGAGAACACTTCAGCATCCTCCATTGCATAATCCTTATAGGTATGGCTTGGGAGGGAGTGACTACCAGGACTTCGAACTCTGCCTGGAGAAAATTGTGGCCAGATTGTGTCGACAAGAGGGATTTTGAAGGGTTTGGGACTGACCCTGATATGCCTATGTCTGTTGTAAAATCAGTTGTGGCACTGGGGAGTTCCATGGGGTTGGATGTGAGTGTGGAGGATGTGGAAGAATTGGTGGAAGACCACAACAAAGAGCTCACCACTGAGGAGCTGCAAGAGCTTCAGCAGGAAGAGCAACACATTGCAGCTCAGAATCTTGCTGCAGAGGAGGAGGAAGAGAGATGGAAGAAGGTGCCTTCTTCAGAAATTAAAGAGATTTTTACTATGTGGGGTAAGATGGAAAGCTTTATGGAGAAACATCACCCTAACAAGGTTGTTGCAAGCCATATTGGCAACATGTACAGTGACAAAGTCTTGGGCCATTTTAGGGAAGTGTTAAAGAGACGCCAGAAACAGCTCTCTCCACAGTTATTTTGCGAGACAGGACTCCATTGACTCTCAAGGTGGTCCTAGTTGCATTAAGAAACAGAGAAGACAAGCAACCCCAGAAAAGCAATTGGTACCTGAGGTGTTGATGGAAGGGGATTCCCCTTCCAAACTATAAACAATTCACTCTCTCCTCCTCCAGTCTCCCATACACTAAGAAGAATCTCCAATAAAGGTGAGTGTTATGCTGTTAATGTTTCATTCATCATTTCCCATTGTATTATGTACTACATGTATATTTCATGTAAAAATTTTTTGTTTTAATACTTCTGAGTGTCAGGAACGGATTAATTGTATTTGCATTATTTCTTATGGGGAAAATTGATTCGTAAATCGTAAATTTCGTTTATAGTAACGGCTCCAGGAACGGATTAATTACGAAAAACGAGGGACCACTGTACAGTGGACCCTCGACTAATGCTATTAATCCGTTCCTGAGAGCTCATCGTTAGTCAAAATTATTGTTAGTCAAGTTAATTTTCCCCATAAGAAATAATGGAAATCAAATTAATCCGTGTAGGACACCCCAAAGTATGAAAAAAAATTGTTTTTACCACATGAAATATTAATTTTAATACACACAAACTGAAGAAGACATGCACAGTTACATGACACTTACCTTTATTGAAGATCTGGTGATGATTGTTGGGATGGGAGGAGGGGAGTGTTGATGGTCTTAGTGTTTAGAAGGGGAACCCCTTCCATTAGACTTGAGGTGGCAAGTCCTTTTCTGGGTTACTTCCCTTCCCTTTAAATCTCTCAAACCAACCTTTGCTGGCCTTAAATTCACTCACATCACCACTAGTTGCTGGCATTTTTTTCATTAAATCGTCATGCAACTTCCTAGCCTTTTCACATATGATCGCTTTGAGAGATGCTATCTCCTGCTATCTGTTTTTCGTTTATCTACACCAATAACAGTCTCTCAACATCTCGAGTACTTGCGATCTCAGTTTCGAAAACATAGTTGCACCTTTGGCAAGAACACTTCCTTGATTGCCGTTTTCCTGGCCACAATAGTAGCGATGGTTGATTGGGGTTTTGTGTACAACCTGGCCAGCTCAGAGACACGCACTCCACTTTCATACTTAGCAATGATCTCTCTTCATATCCATAGTAATTCTCACCCTTTTTGCTGTAGGGTTGGCACTAGAAGATTTCTTGGGGCCCATGGTGACTTATTTTGCAGGTGCAATCACTAAAAAGGCTGTGATAACATGAAATGTTCCAATTGTATGCTTGGAAGCGACCGCGGTGGCTGGCTGGCTTGTAAACACTGGCCAGAAGTGGACACGTTTGATGGAACAAATAGTGTTGGTTGAGTTTTTTAGCGCTAGTCGAGGCAAAAATTTTGCGTTAAAATGTATTGCTAGTCGGATTTATCGTTAATCGATGCCATCGTTGGTCGAGGGTCCACTGTATATGTATATCGCATTCTTTGAAGAATAGTGTTATGACACCCATTATCAGCTCAGTGACATTTGGTAATTGGTTGCTCGGGGAACCCTGGCTTTATTTGTTTTCACTGTTACCCAGAAACATGTTTCTGTCTGTCTATCTCTCTATCTGTCAGTCTGTCTATCTTTGCCTGGAATTTTTGGGTTATCCTAGGTAATTTACACTATGTATAATAACTGAACTTATGTGTACATGTGAGACAGAGATATAGATAGACAGAGATATAGATAGAGATACAGATAGACAGAGATATAGATAGACAGAGATACAGATAGACAGATAGAGATATAGACAGAGAAACAGCCAGAGACAGCCAAAGCAAGCCAGCTGGCCAGCCTGCTGAATACATAAGAACATAAGAAAGAAGGAACACTGCAGCAGGCCTATTGGCCCATACAAGGCAAGTACATGTCCCCCCCCCCAGCTTAGACCAATGATCCACCTAGTCATGTTACATCCATTGAGGGAAGGAGCATGACATCAAACCTAGTAGTACAAGCTAGTCAGGTCCAACTCACACCCACCCACACTCACATGTATTTATCTAACCTGTTTTTACTTTCCTCTTAAAATGGAAGTATTAATGCGACATGGCATCAGTGAATCCCTGGTGTTTGCCACGCTATTTTCTCTAGCTGGCACTCAATTGAACTGATGCTCCTACAAGGTACTAAGTGCTCCCAGATTTTTTTAATAGTGTGCACATTGAGGGCACAGACCCATTCTTTCATGTCTAGGCGACTCAAGCGTATTGTGCCAAATTTGAAGGAAAGAAAAATAAAACATTGATCTATGTTTGGAGCGCTTCGCGTGCAAACGTAGATCTCCGTTTGGACAGTTTAAGGGTTAATAATCCCTTCTTCAGACTGCCTGAAATGCCCTGCATAACAATGGGCTTTTCCCTGTGAGATATGCTATATCTTGTTAATCCACTGTTCCAACTCTATTGTATCTTCTTGATAAATATCAATTTGGAATGAATTTTAACCCGTAAACGGTCCAAGCAGATCTACGTTCACATGTGTAGTGCTACAAAAGTAGATACACAAATAACCCGCACATAAAAGAGAGAAGCTTACGACGACGTTTCGGTCCGAAACGTCGTCGTAAGCTTCTCTCTTTTATGTGCGGGTTATTTGTGTATCGTTCCAGTCACAGTATTGTGCCTTTTTTTGTTACAAAAGTAAATCTAAGTTTTTTACGTATTTTCAAATATAACAAAAAAAAGTAGATCAAAGTTTTTTTACACATTTTCAAATGTAGAAAAACAAAAAGAAGATCTACTTTTTTTACATACTTTCAAATGTTGAAAAAACGTATATATACGTTTGGACCGTTTACGGGTTAAGGGTGGGTTCAGCAAGTTGATGGCTAGGGTTTATAATTTAAAATGTTTATTATAGAAACTTCAAAGTTCTCTCTTCTATCTTGTCTTCACAGGTTACTTTAAAGAGAATATTCTCCTTCACTTCTGTGCCTCAATGATCTCTGGTTTAATCACCACTGCTGCCTCTATGCCAGTTGATATTGCAAAGACACGGTGAGTTTCATCAGTCTTTTGATTTGAAAAATCTCTAATAGGGTATTGTAGTGATACAGGATTGCAGGCTGCATGAAATGATAGCCTAGCTGATGACAGTGTCATGAGGTATGGCCTCAGGTTAGTCTGAAATACTCACACTGTAATCTGTAAGTTTAGTTAATTTAATAGTGTTAAAACTATAGTTATAAAAACAGCTAAATTTAACAGTGTAAGGGATGCAGGCACATGTCTGAAGAAAAGCAGAGTAAGTACAGTATAAGAATTTAAGGAATATATGTGCATTAAGGATGTTCTTCAGAAAGTTCAAAGAAGAAGGTCTATAACAGTGATTCTCAAACTGGGGAAAATTTACCCTTTTGGGGTAAAAAATTACATAGCAAAGGGTAAATATTTGATGTACCTGATAATTGAATAATCATTTCAATTTTTCTGACCTTGTTTTTCTGTCCCCTTTATGATGGTGATAAATTTTTTGTAGGGAAGTAAGGGGGTAAATGGAGAAATACATCAAGCCGAGGGGGGTTAATGATGGAGGAAAAGTTGAGACTCCCTGGTCTATAACATGCATGACTACATAAAGAGCATCCCCCGTAGACAAGCAAGATTTATGATCATGAGGTTGAAGGGCAAACCATAGAAAACTGGTGGATGTGTTTGAAAGACTTATTATAAAAGGGGGGGACTATTATAGGTGGTATTGCTGGAGACTAATTTGAGATAAGTGGAAATATTTGATTGGAGAAGGCATTAAGAAAAAGTGGAGACATGGGTTTAACCCTTAAACTGTCCAAACAGATTTGCGTTCACATGTGTAATGCTCCAAAAGTAGATCTACTTTTTTTTTACATATTTTCAAATGTATAACAAAAAAAGAAAAGATCAAGTTTTTTTTACACGCTTTCACATGTTAAAAAAAAAAAAAAAGGATCTACATTTTTTACATACTTTCAAATGTTGAAAAAACGTAGATCTACGTTTGGACAGTTTAAGTGTTAATCTGGTCATCTATCTTTGTGTAACTGCCTATTTGAGTGTGCAGGAGTAAGCTCTAGCTCTTGGTCATGCTTCTTAACTTTGGAACGACTCGTGTGAGAAAGCCTTGTCGTATGTAATTACTGGTGTTACCTTCAACACGTCTAATACCATACCTTGTGCTGTGTTCATACACATCTAGTACCATACCTGGTCATGATCATCAGCATTCTGTCATTAATTTCTGGGTGAATGAGGTTTTTTCTCACTGGTTCAACTTGAAAATTAGAATGAAAATTATTCATGTTTTACTTAGTCTTTTATTTTTCTATATAGGGAATGATTTATTGAAAACTGATTGGAAGTTAGGCATGTTATCAGCTGTACTTTTTTAAATGCATGATAATTTTAAATACAGGCACAGACAGGTAAAATTAATGTATTGTTAGCCCATCAAATTTACTACTACCCTTTCTGTATAAAGTCCTTGATATTCAAAAATGGTAAGAATAGTTTAAAAGTGACAATTACAGTAGGGTTTTCTTCATTTAAATAATTAAAATCCAATGATTTTTAATTAAATTTAAATAACAAGTGTACTGTGGTAATCTAGACTATGAAAACCTACAAAATATGTACACCTACCATCCGACTTACGACCTGCTCGACATACGACGGCTCGACTTAAGACCGTGTTTTTTATGCCAAATTTCTGGGAAATAAACAAGTGTGTGTTGTACACAGTGTTTACCCTAAACCTTACAGTATAAAATACAGTACTAACAGCATAAAAAGTAAAGTAAAAACATGAAATACCAAAATAAAACAATAAAATAAAGTCATTACAAAAATGTTATGTTGATATTCAGTAGTAAAGTTCGACTTACGTCCATTTTTGACTTATGACTGGTTTCTCGGAACCGAACTCGGTCGTAAGTTGGATGGTAGGTGTATATTGTGCTTTTATGCATCTCTGTATTGGTACTGGCAGCAATGTATACACTGCATCTCTGCCCTGTTGTACTGGGCCCTCTTCTCTTCCTCACCGTACCCTTAAACCCAGGTATCTCCCAAGTTAGCATTGTCAGTCCTTTTCTTTCCTTTTCCTCATCTATATCAATGACATTCCAAATGCCACTCAGCATTTTAACCTGTACTCTTTGCTGCTAATGCAACTTTTTATAATATGTCAAGTTCGAGTGTTGATAAGCACCATAGTAAATGACACTAAAAAAGTTTAAAACATAAATAATTACCAACACACTTTCAGTATTGAAAAAAAAAATTCTGTTGATCTTATGGGAACAAACTGTCTACAGACCTGATAATCAATATTTTTTAAATAACACAAAAATAGGGGAAATTCCAATGTCTAATACAGGTTGGCCATCACTAATCCGGCATCATTGGGACCTGTAGTGTGCCGGATTAGTGAATTTGCCGGATTACAGAGTGGTTAGGTTAGAATACACTTAATTAACCTATCAATAGAGAGACTTTCTGCTACATCTTCCTCATTTTTGTCACTGCTTTCTCCTCCACTGGCTTGCTGCTGTGGACTTACAACCATCTGCACAATTTCTGAGTCAGTATAATGTTGAAATTTGAAATTATGCTAGCCGAAATTAGTGCTGGATTACTGATGGAACCAGATAACTGATTGCTGGATTAGTGATGGCCGACCTGTAGTAGACAAGACACTGAAATTTAATGCTCATATACAACACGTTAAAAACAGGTGGGAATGTAGTTCAGGAGTGGTTGGTGCTTTTATTTAATAAATATATGGAAGAGGGTAAGGTACCTAGGAATTGGCAGTGAGCATGCATAATTCTTTTGTATAAAGGCAAAGGGGAAAAAAGAGAGTGCAAGAATTATAGGGGAATAAATATTGAGTATTCCAAGTAAAGTGTATGGTAGAGTTATTATTGAAAGAATTAAAAGTAAAATAGAGACTAGGATAGCAGATGAACAAGGAGGCTTTAGGAAACGTAGGGGTTGTGTGGACCAAGTGTTTACAGTGAAAATTATAGGTGAACAGTATTCAGATAAGGGTAAAGAGGTTTTTGTGGCATTTATAGATTTGGAAAAGGCATATGACAGGGTGGATAGGGGGGTAGTGTGGCAGATGTTGGAAATGTATGGAATAGGAGGTAGGTTACTGAAAGCAGTGAAGAGTTTTTATTAGGATAGTGAGGCTCAGATTAGAGTATGTAAGAGAGAGGGAGATTATTTCCTAGTAAAAGTAGGCCTTAGACAAGGATGTGTGATGTCACCATGGTTGTTCAATATATTTATAGATGGGGTTGTAAGAGAAGTGAATGCACGAGTGTTGGCAAGAGGTGTGGGGTTAAAAGATAAAGAATCTAACAAAAAATGGGAGTTGTCACAGTTGCTCTTTGCTGATGACACTGTGCTTTTGGGAGATTCTGAAGAGAAGTTTCAGAGGTTGGTGGATAAGTTTGGTAGGGTGTGTAAAAGAAGAAAATTGAAAGAGAATATAGGAAAGAGTAAGAACATAAGAAGGAACACTGCAGCAGGCCCACTGGCCCATGTGAAGCAGGTCCATGTCACCCCCCCGGCTTACACCAATGACCCACCTAGTCAAGTCACATCCACTTAACCCTTTCAGGGTCCGTCCCGTAGATCTACGGCTTCACGTTCAGGGTCCAAACTGTAGATCTATGCCAAAATTCTAGCAACGTCAAATTTAGCATGAAAACTCTCATAGGCCTACATGTGAAAGAACGGGTCTGCGTGGTGGGTGTGCGCCGCAAGCAAAAAATCTAGGCGCCCGCATAGCATTGTGGGAATGCCGGCTCAGTTACCTTTGTTCACCATGCCTCGTCGCAAGGCAGCTCTCGCTCCAAGGAAAATTGGGACTCTCCTCTTCCTATCTGATAGTTCTGACTCTGATGGAAGTGGAAATGAAGACGAATTCTTTGGCTTTGATCAGTTAGTGACTGAAAGGAATGACCAGGATATCGATAATAGTGCAGAAAACCCTGACGATCCTCAACCTTCTACCTCTGGTGTGGGCACTCCTCAGTCATGGTCAGTTGTTCCTCATCGCAAGAGAAAACTATTATTTTCGCGTGGCCAGGCCTCTGACTTCAGTAATGATGATGATAGTGACGTGGATTGTGATTTTATTGCTCTTGACGATCATTCGAGTAGTGATAGTGAGGAAACATATTCACCAGTGAAGCATTGGTATGTACGCCGCCGCATGCGCTCGGGTAGTGTACCCTATGCAGTGCCCAGGGGACGGAGTACATCCCGTGGCCCTACACCAGGAATAGACAGTGAAAGTAAGGATGATGTGGCTACACTTGGCATGGATAGACCACAGGCATCACTAGATGGTGGTAGTGGTGATGGCAGTGCCACAGCCATGCGTGACTCACCAGCCCAGGCTGGGACCCACGCTGCTGACTCCTCAGTTCAAGGACAAAGCGGAGCGTCAGCCACCAGCCCACCACAACCACAACTACCCACACAACCAGCCTATGATGTCCAGTATCCACCAGCAAACCGTATCTGGGATTGGCAGCAAAATCCCAATTTTGTTCCCAAGCCCCACCACTTTGATGACTCTCAAAGTGGAATTCTACCTACTTGTCCCCTTGGAACCACGGCCAATGAACTGGAATTTTTTGAAATATTCTTTGACCAGCTCTTGATGGAAACTATTGTCAGGGAAAGTAACAAGTATTTTGAGTACACCATGGCAAATACGATCACATCACCACAGTCAAGACTACACTGGTGGAAAGAGACGACTGTTGCAGAAATGTATTTGCTTTTTGCAACAATAATGCTTATGCCTCATGTCTATAAGCATAATATAAAAGCATACTGGTCCACAGATCGGCTAATTTCTACCCTGGTCTTAAGTGAAATCATCCCAGTGAACAGGTTTATCTTACTGTTATGTACGTTGCACTTCTCTGACAAAACCAGGCCTGACAGAAGTGACAGGTTATACAAAAGTTCAACATGTACTTTTATCCATTCAAGAATCT